GAAGAATGTATGCAATGTGTTAATTATTGAAACTGTCCTACCAATTTGATTTGAAACTGTCTCATTGTTATTTGTTTCTCAATAAAATTATGGGGAAAAAACCGCTACATATTGCTAATGAGAATGTGAAACATGGCGATTGCTATGGACAAGTATGGCTGTTCCTCAAAAAATTAAACACCAGGTGTCTTGGTTACTTTTCTCAATGCTGAAACAAAATACCCGACACCCAAAGTTAAAAGAGAAGAGGTTTATTTAGCGTTTAGATAGAAAGTCTGCAAGAGGCAAATGCACAGAGACAGGAAGCAAGCAGGAAGCAGATCAGCCCTGACAGTGGGCCAGTGGGCGGGGAGAGGGAATGTGGCCTGACTGCTTTGGGAGAAAGGCTTCTGCTTTGGTGGTTCTGGAAGGGGATATCCTGACAGCGATGCAGCCCTGGGAGTGTACTCAATGCTTCTCGGTTATTTACTTCAAAATGGCTTGAGTGATGAAGCGGGCGTGATGGTACACGCCCGTCACGCCCGCTACGTGGAGGCTCAGGCAGGATCACCAGCTGCAGCCCATCCTGGGCAACCTAGCAAGACATTGTCTCAAAATATAAAAAGTGTGAGGATATAGCTCAGTTGGAAATCTTGGGTTGAATCCTTCATTCAAAAAAAAAAAAAAATTGCAATTGGTGAATCTTATATGAATTTTTTTATCTCAGTGTTTAAAAATCTCAGTTTTGGGGGCCAGGGAGATGACTCAGTGGAATAAGCACTTTCCTGTCAAGCGCAAGGGCCTGAGTTCAATCCCCGGTTCCGCCAAAACAAAACAGACAAACAAAAAATCTCAGTTTAAGGGCCAACCAGATAGCTCAGCAGATTAAAGCACCTGCTTAGGCGGTGCACAGTGGCCAGGGTTCAATCCCTGGCTTGCCATGCTGGCCCTGCTTGTGGGGCACGCTGAGATGGTGATTGAGACTGGGCATGGTGGCACATGCCTGTAATCCTAGTGCTTGGGAGGCTAAAAACAGGAGGATCACTGAGTCTGATCTATGTAGTGAGACCCTATAGATCCTGTACTAAATACATTTAAAAAAATAAATAAATATCTCAGTCAAAGCTTGCACACCTATAATCTCAGCACTTGGGAGGATGAGGTTGGATGAGCGTTTCAGGTGAGTTGAGACCAGCCTCAAAAAAAAAAGACACACACAAAAATCTCCGTTAAAACATTCTGAAATGTTGAAACAGCCTGTTTTTTGTTTGTTTGTGACAGGACTTTGTTTTGTAATTCAGGCTGCCTTTAAACTCACCATGTAGCAGGCTAGCCTCAAACTCACAGCAGTCCTCCTGCCTCATCCTTTCCCGTGCTGGGAAAACCTGTTGCTAAAGGGGCGGGGGGGGGAGGGGGCTGGAGAGATGGCTCAGTGGTCTAAAGCACCTATTTGGAACAAGCTTGGAAAAGCATAGGGACCGCGGTTCAATCCCCCAGCACCACA